GCATTAGGTGGCTGGAGGCGGGAGCTAGGAGAAGCCGTCTCCAGAGCTGGGAATTAAAGGTAATGAAAGTATGTCTCTTTGATTTTAAAACTCACTAGTAAAATTTCTATGCTTTGAACCTTCTTATATGAAGTTCGCGTGCTGCTCATGCGGCAGAGTCCTTTATGGCTTTTCATATGCTATGTATTTTTACTGAGTGTCTCCTGCTATATTCTATATTCTCCCTTTGTTCTCCATGTCAAAGTATCATAAAATAGTCACTTACTCTGTGAAGCCTTCCATGGCTCCCCTTCTCTGTGTTCTGATAACAATATTCAAGTTGTTGATTATAGAAATTCTCACTTACTTATCTATTTGTATGAGAATTGCCCTACTGTGGCCTCCTTGGGACAGAATTTGTTTTGCTTGGTCTTTTTTAATTCCTAGTGCCTAAGAAGATATGCCAGCGAGTCTGCATTTAAGAAGTGTTTGCTAAAGTGCATTGAATATGATAACTTCCCATAGGAAAGATTTTATCTTTGTATTTATTTATTAATTTATTTAAATTAGATATATATGACAGCAGAATGCATTTTGATTCATTGTGCACAGTTGCAGCACAACTTTTCATTTCCCTGGTTGTGCACGATGTAGTGTCACACCATGTGTGCAGTCATACATGTACCTAGGTAATGATGTCCATCTCATTCCACCATCTTTCCTATCCCCATGCACACTCCCCACACCCCTCCCCTTTACCCAATCAAAATTCCTCCATTTTTCTCCTCCCCTCCCTTCCCCTATAATGGATCAGCATTCACTTATCAGAGAGAACATTTGGCCTTTGTTTTTTGGGGATTGGCTTACTTCACTTAGCATGATATTCTCCAACTCCATCCATTTACTTGCAAATGCCATGCAACTGTAGTAAATACATTCCAAAGTGATCTAAATGTTTTAAAGAAATGAGACATATTAAAATAGGAAAAACCAGGAAATAAGAAGTGATTCCGAATGCTGGAAGGTAACAATGCTGGAAGGTAACATTACACTTTTAACCTCTGGTATCCTTTTCTAGGTACATGAGATTTAATCCCAGTGCCCAGATCAGGAAAAAACATGTCCTATTCCTTCACAGCCAAAAATGAAATTTCAATTTCAATTTCAAACCTATAAGATGCTATTTCCATCATGGTCCCACTCCTGCTATGGCTCCCACTCCCACCCAATTATTCTATGACATCCTTGGACAGAGCACAGATATTGACCATACTTTTAAAAAGGTTTTTGCTCAATATGTTGCCTCTATTTGGTCAATAGAGTACTACTTCTTTATGGAGATGTCCAGGAAATTGTAGGTTAGGAAATATCTAAGGAACTACTTGATAAGAAAACAGTAGAAATCTCCCATGAAGTATATTCAGACACTACTTCAATCTTTTAAAATTGAACCAGTTAATGGTTTAAGGAAATGAATTTTGAGTAATAGAACTGCAAGGTCTTAAGCAGTTTGATCAGAGGAAAGGAGACTGGATTGCTATAAGGAAGAGAGATAGGAAGAAAGCAGAAAACCGTTAAGTTCAAGCATCCCGGAAAGATAGGCCTCAGTTTCTGAGTATTACACTGCAAAGGACCTATGTGTAGTGAAAGCTTATACCACTTTAAGGGAGTGTTGCTACCTTTTCTTTACCTAACAGATACAGGATCCATGAAGCTCTAGCCACAGTGTACTCATTACAATGGAAATGATATTAACAGAAGGAAAACAGGCTTTCTCTTGACCATGAAAAGCCCCACAAAGAGTAGTGGAAAGGTAAGAAATAGCTCACCAAGGGTGTGAAAGGGTTGAGGGACTTGAAGATTTTTCTGCTTCTGTCTGGAAGAGAGACATGAGGTTAAGCCTTTCAAAAGCAGATATGAAGGTGGTTAGAAGTTGACATTTTAATATTTATGATGACCTTACTGGCTTTTTGTTTCTACATTGAAACCTGGTGATATTTCCAGTCTCATACATTTATTTATTCATTCAATAATATTTAGATATGGAACATACACATTGCCCAAGATTATGTCAAGAAATATTCTTTAGACCAGATAATCTGCATTAGAATTTCACCAGATCCTCTCCTTTCCTACTGGATTTAGCTTAGTCTTTTAATATGAATACAGCTCTAAAACCACTGTGAGAAGCAACAATTATCTGGTCCCAGAGATTTTACATATTTGCAAATTCAAATATGCTATGACAGCATAAATGGTTAGAGAAATTTTATTACAAATTAATGGATAAAACCCTTACACTATTTTTGATAAATACTAAATCCAAATTATTTAAAGTGTTTTTCCCTGTATCCTAGGGATAATACAAAAAAAAAGAATATATCTTCATCTTGAAGTATTTTTTATTAGAAGATATTTTTTAAAAAACAAAGTTGCCCACAGAGTAAGCTAAGAAATAAAATAACTTTAAAAACTTCTAAAATAAAAGGCAGCTAATGACTATTAGGTTTTAAACAGCATCCAATTCACTGAGGTTACACTCAAGTACCTTGCAACTTCCTGAGTGAGGCCAAATTGATGACATTTCAAGTTGAGAAACTTCCGTTACAAGTTCTGAGAAAAATAATATGATGAAATTTTAGATACTCCCTTACCCCACACACGCACATACGTACTTCCATCACCCCTTCCACCACCAAAAAGAATTGTACAACTAATAAGCATACAGATTTCAAGTACTCTTTCACAAAGCAGGAAGTCATGCTGAAATTATGTAGAGATGGAGAGAAAAATAAATAGGGACTAAATACAGATAAAAGAAAAGCAGCTTGTAAATTTGATCAACCTTTTGGGCTATGGAAATAAAATACAGTAACATGCTATTTCACCCCTGAACTCCTCTGATCATACTCAGTCCTTAACCTAAAGGCATACACTGGAGATCATGGAGTTGAAACATTTGCTTTGAGCACTGTCTGACTTTGGGCAGGTCATTTATCTTCTAATCCTAACCACTAGAACACCAGGGAGTATTCATTTATCCTCAAAGGTTAGTCTTTTTGTTTGTTTTTTTTTCTTAATCCACAAAATGGTATAGATGAAATAAAATAATGTATATAAAGTATTCAGCACAATGCTTGTAGTGTGTGCATAAAAACCACTAAGATTTTCATACCCACAACTTCATTTTAATCTACTGATGTCTGAATATAAAATGGAAGTGGAATACACGCTGCCATCGTGCAGGCACAGGCTTGCAGTCACTTGAAATTCTTCAGACACAAATTGCCCCAAGGCTAGGACAACAGTGCTGGCCAGAAGCAACAACAAGAGAAAAATCGACTGATTTAACAGAACTTCTCAGCTAAATGAATTTTCATCAATATGACAGAGTATTTCTTTGTTTACTCCTGACCAGTTAAAGAAGAGACTATACTGTGTTTAGCTTTGATTCTTTACTCTTGAAAGAATAAACTTTTGGGGGAAGAAAACATTTTTGAACAAAGAATGATTGAACATATCAGTAAATACCTACATAAATGAATTTTTTAAAAAAATTAATAGATTTGGGGTTTCTACTGCTGTTACTGTACCATGGGCTTTGGCTTCTTAAAAATTATGGAATCACGGATGACTGAGCTATAAGCAACAGAGAAACCCTTAGGAAGACACCCTAAATATAGATGTTTATATATTTCCAAAGCTTATGTGCAGTTAGGCAGAGAATCTGCCATGGGAAATCAAAGTGTGAAAAGGAAGCTAAGAGGCTCTCAGGAACATATATGAGCTTTTCATTACTCTCCTTTCCTCTTTCATCAAGCCAACTTCTTCACATTTGAATTACCTATACTATCAGTGGGTTTTTGTGATACACATTATATACTAAG